GGTACATCAAAAATTAGGGCTTAAATTTGAAATTATTAGTGAACAAGAAGAAGCTTTTTTATCTGCACTTGCCTGTTCAAATCTTCTAACGACACCCTATACGCACGCACTTCTGATTGATGGCGGTGGTGCCAGCACCGAATTTGTTTGGGCACACATACAGGGAAAAGAATTACCAGAAGTCATCGACTGGATTTCAATCCCTTATGGGGCAGTGACGTTATGTGACACTTACGGAAACCATATGGAAGATGTGTTTGAGGATGTGAAACAAGAAGTTTTTGAAATTTTAAAGCCTTTCTCTAAAAAGAATAACATCTCCTCTTTTATTAAAAAAAACGTTGTACAAATTGTGGGGGCTTCTGGGAGTGCTACAACCATTTCGGCCTTGGCGCAAAACCTTCCTCGGTATCAAAGAGAAAAAATAGATGGGGCAACCTTAACCCAAGAAGAAATCTATCAAGTCCAAAAAGACCTCTTTAAACTTTCATTCGAAGGTCGTGTAAAGCACCCTTGTATTGGCATCGCACGTTCGGATTTGATTATTCCAGGCCTCGCGATCCTACAAGGCATCTTAAAATTATGGCCTGTCCCCAAAATTTGGGTTGCAGATCGCAGCGTACGAGATGGTCTCCTCATTGAAATGTCTTCAGCTCAATTTAAAGCTGCTTAAAAAATTTGAAAATTTTATGATTAAAAAAACATCTTCTAAAAATCCTTCAGGGCTTATCCGGAAAAAACATGTCAAGGTGAAGACAGCTCGAGGACGCAAAGTTTCATCTCAACGCTGGTTACAAAGGCAACTCAATGATCCTTATGTCTTGCAAGCGCAATCTCTTGGATATCGCTCCAGAGCTGCTTTTAAGCTGATAGAAGTTAATGAAAAATACAATATCATTCATCCAGGAGATCGGGTAATTGACTTAGGAGCCGCTCCTGGTAGCTGGTGCCAAATTGCCTTAGACTTAGTCGGCCCAAAAGGACAAGTTTTTGCCTTAGACTTAAAAGAAATCGACCCTCTACCGGGAGTAGAATTTATTCAAGGCGATTTCTTAGAAAGCGCCATACAAAGTGAGCTTGAAGAAAAACTTACTGGATCAGCAAACGTTATTTTATCAGACATGGCCGCTTCCTCTACAGGGCATGCACAAACAGACCATTGGCGCATTATGGCCCTTGCAAAAAACGCTTTTGAATTTGCAAAAGATATTTTAGCACCAGGGGGCCATTTTTGTGCCAAGGTCCTCATGGGAGGAACTGAAAAAGATCTTCTTCAATCCCTTCGAAAACACTTTGAAAAAGTCGCCCATTTCAAACCAAAATCCAGTCGCAAAGACTCGTCTGAAATGTATGTGATTGGCCTTAGGTTTAAAACTGATGACACCTAAAAAACTAATCAACTCATTCATCTACTTAATTACACTTTGGGAAGAAAAAAAAAGTCCTGCAGACCGCCTTTTTCGGCAATATTGCAAACAAAATCCATCTCTAGGCGTCAAAGATCGAAAAAACTTAAGCGCGCTGTTTTTTGAAAGCTTTCGCCATCGAGGCAATGTCCTCAAGGCCTTTGAACACACAGAAACGCTTTTTTGCCCCACTCTTTTTGCACTCTCTTTTTTTAATTTGAAAGGCTCAGAACTCTTAAGTTTAGATAGCAAGGCCACCTTTCACTCCATAGACCATCCCCTTTCTTCCCCTCAAAAAAAGTCTTTAAATAATATCTGTAAGGCAATCAATTTGAAGAAACCCTTTCTAGGGCCAGAGTGGTTGCTGGAAAAAATGGAAGCCTCTTTAGGGACTTCTTTCGAGGAAGAATGCGCCTTACTCTCCAAACAAGCCTCCACAGACTTGCGTGTAAACACCCTTAAATCTTCAAGAAAACTCGCGCTTCAAGAACTAAAGGCTCATGACTCAAAGGCCAAACCTACCCCTTTTTCCCCTCTCGGCATCCGCCTTTCAAAACGCCTTCCCCTTTCAGCTTTACCAATTTACCGTCACGGCGCTGTAGAGATTCAAGAAGAAGGGTCTCAACTGCTTACCCAATATGTCCCCGTAAAACCTGGAGAATCTCTTCTAGACTTCTGCGCAGGAGCTGGGGGGAAAAGCCTCGCTTTTGGTGCCATGATGAAAAATCAAGGTAAAATTATCTTAACAGATCCCCATACA